TACTTTAAGTTCTACTGTTACAACTAATATCTCTGAAAGCTTAATAGAATTGAATGATTCAGTATGCAGTTATAATAAAACTATGATCAACAAATCTACCCAAGTAGCATTTATTTTGATGCAATAGAAAATTATTTTGTATTTAATTGTGAGTATGAAGGAAATAATGCTGCAACTCAAGTGACTATTCCAAACAATTTTATGGAATTTAATAAACCAAAAACTGATAAGTCTTGTGGTGTAGAGTCATCAAACAATAATTCTTGTTTATCTTGTAATACTTTCCATGGTTTTCAATCCATTGAATYTGAGCAATCATTAAAAGACATAACAGGAATGCCGTTTAAAATATTTGACATTCTGTTATCATTAATACCAAATAATATAAATTCTCAGACTATTCTAAGTAAAGAAAATTATCTTTTGATTTTTTTAATGAAACTTAAGTTAGGTTTAACTTATTCTGCACTGAGTGTTTTTTTCAAAATTCACAGAACTAYTGTTAGTAGAGTTTTTTTAGAATGTTTACACATTTTGTCTAAAAAATGCAAAAATGTAATATGTTGGCCTTCTAAAGATACTATTTTGGATACTCTATCTGTTGTATTCAAAAAAAATTATCCAAACTGTAGATGTATCATAGATTGCTCTGAAATCAGAGTCGAACAACCCAAAACTATAAAACAAAGAGTATATAATATGTATTCTCACTATAAAGGTTGTTATACTGTGAAAGTACTTGTGGCTATTACCCCTAATGGGATGGTAAGCYTTTTATCAAAAGCATATGGTGGGAGGTCTAGTGATTTCTTTATTACGAATGATTGTGGATTCTTAAATAAACTTGAAATTGGGGATGAAGTACTTGCTGACAAAGGTTTTCCTGGTATAAAATCTGGGATAGAAGGTCAAAATTCTATTCTAGTTATGCCTCCACTATTACACAACTGTAGATTTTCTGAAGAAGAATTACTTAAAACTTACAATGTTGCAAGTGTAAGGATACATGTAGAGAGATTTTTTGCTAGACTAAAATTATTTAATGTGTGTTCAACAAGATAACTATTAATTTTTTACCACACATAACATAGATGTCAACACGTCACATAGATGATACTTTGTTAATGTGTTGTATTTTAGTWAATTTAAGTAGTCCAATAATTAAACAATAGTAATTGATTTTAAGCAATATTATTATATTAAACTTATTGTTAAATTTATTTCAGAAATAATATTTTAAACAGAATAACAAAAAATAGAGAGTTAAGCATAAACATTGTACATATTATAAAATAATTTTATATTTTGCTTAAATTAAATATAATATACATATTGGTATTCAAATTAATGTTGATTTCATATTCCTTAAGCACACAAATTTGGTAAATAATATGTGAAGTAAAATTCATTTAATTTAGGAATAATATTATTTAAAAATATTATATCTTTCTCAATGACTAAAAGTAAAGGGTCTATGTCATTAAAAATGAACAAATTACAAGTATTCAAATTAGTACAATGTAATATTATTTGTATGTGAGTGTAATACATATGCATGGGGTTTAAAATTATTTTTCCTTGTTGATGTTTGAGATATTTTAAGTTAGATTCGCCTGTATCTGGATTAATAATATATTTTTTTTTTGCATGAAATTAGACACTTGATTTCTAGTGCAGAATTAATCTTGTTATTTTTTATTATTAAACCATCTGGACTAACACAGAGCCAAGGTTGGTCTTTATGAACAACTAAGCCACATTTTAAAACTTAAATTGAACATTGTACTAAAAATTTCAATTGCCTTTTTCTCAGTTTGAGAACCATATGTCCATATAACACATTACTTAAACCCAGTGGCGCAGGAACTATTTTTCAGGAAGGGGGGCAAAATATAAAAAGCATATTTACTCTAATATTTTTATTTGTGTTTTATTACGGAAAACCGTAATATATATACCGTATATATATATATATATATATATACATTTATATATATATATATTTAGTACAGTAGAACTTCGATTAACCGTCACTGTCGGGACCGGGG